CATGCCAACACCAAACACATCAATAAATTTATGAATTAAGAGCATCAAATTGGCCAAGACATCACCACCAAAGAACAATATATAACAAAATTAAGAGAATTAAGGAAGAAGAAACAAACCTCTCTAATCTTAGTGATTTTTGGACAACGTTATTGATCGGAGTCCGACTGTAAATTTTTCTTCGATCGGAATACTCCGGAAGAAATTCAACTAGTGATTCTGTGAGTATATGTAATGAATTGTGTGAAAGTGGTTAGTTAGTGATTATGTGAGTGAATTGTTGGTGTAATTGTGTGTGTACGACAAGTGGAAGATGGGTGAGTGAGTATAAGGGTCATGTGCTTTCTTACTTAGTGAGCAAGAAAAATAAGTAAGGATGAGTTTGTTAGAAGTATCTAGGGGTAGGTGGAAAATTAAGATTGGTTCTAAAAAAAAATTAGATTTAAAAATAGGTATTTAAAGTTAAAATATGAATTGAAACTCGAAAGGGTCAAAGATCATGTATCTATATTGTACACTTGAAAAAGCTAACTTAGCTGTGTACTTATTTACTATGTCAATAAAAGAGATAAGATCAGGATCATACCCCTTTTTGACATGAAGATTTCAGCTTGGTTCATATATCCTTGACAAGTATGAGCAGATGAAGCATAATCGTTCTAAAGCAGGTCGATTCCAACCTCTAAAAACATTTTAAATTGGAAACATTTTTGAGGATTAAAATGTCAATGGTGGTATTAATCTCCTTAAAGGATTCAACATGTTGATATTTAGATCTAAGAAAAGGAATCTAATTAATGCTAACCACAATACTTGAATGATGTTTGAAAATTGAAAATGATATTGTGGTAATGAGGATGAAGAGGTTTGGTGAACAACCTAGATTCATTCGATTTTTCAGAATGGAACACATGCATGAAGAAGAACACCTTGTAAGCTGTTGGAAGTTCACAGTTCCGATGCATCATTTCTCTATGAGATGGTGACTTTGGAAACTTTCCTCCGATAATTGTTTTCTCTCTCGATTCCACCTAGAAACCCATTATATCCACTGGTATACACCTTTGCAGATAAGGAAGCGAAGCTTAGGAAGAAATGAAGAACAAAATCATATTAGAACAAAGGAAAACTATACTTACTTATGTGAGCTGAGAAGAAAAGGAAGCTTCTTCATCATCATAAATAAGTATTGATTACCCACAATAAGAGGAAAAAGAAGCTCAGGTTATCAGAAATTCCAAGCAGCGATATAGAGGGAGATGACCAGGAGCTCAAAATGGAAAACCCTACTTCTTAGGGTTGATATATAAAAGGAGGCGGATCCTTTGGACTGGGCCTGTTTTTTGTTTTCTATTTTCGTTATTTTCTTTTCCTTTTGGGTTCACTTGGCCCATTTTGTACAGAGTTGAGCTATAAATAATAGAGAAAATTATGTAATTACACGACTTAAGATAATATAATTTCTAAAGTCCCTATCATTTGAATCAATTACAAAAAGCAAGTAATTGAACACATGATAAATTATTAGATAAAAAGAAGAAGCATGCCAACACTAAACACATCAATATATTTATGAATTAAGAGCATCAAATTGTCCAAGACATCACCACCAAAGAACAATATATAACAAAATTAAGAGAATTAAGGAAGAAGAAACAAACCTCTCTAATCTTAGTGATTTTTGGACAACGATGTTGATTGGAGTCCGACTGTAAATTTTTCTTCGAACGAAGTACTCTGGATTAAATTCAACTAGTGATTATGTGCGTATATGTAATGAATTGTGTGTAGGTGGTGTGCTAGTGTGAGTAAGGAAGAAGAGAAAAAATGTTAGTTGTTATGTGCAAATGAGAGTGATTCTATGGGTGAATTGTTGGTGTAATTGTGTGTATACGGCAAGTGAAAGATGGGTGAGTGAGTATAAGAGTCATGTGCTTTCTTACTTAGTGAGCAAGAAAAATAAGTAATGATGAGTTTGTTAGAAGTATCTAGGGGTAGGTGGCAAATTAGGATTGGTTCTAAAAAAAAAATAGATTTAAAAATAGGTATTTAAAGTTTAAAATATGGATTGAAACTCAAAAGGGTCAAAGATCATGTATCTATATTGTACACTTGTAAAAGCTAACTTAGTTGTGTACTTATTTACTATGTCAATAAAAGAGATAAGATCAGGATCATACCCCTTTTTGACATGAAGATTTCAACTTGGTTCATACATCCTTGACAAGTATGAGCAGATGAAGCATAATCGTTCTAAAGCAAGTCGATTCCAACCTCTAGAAACATTTAAAATTGGAAACCTTTTTGATGATTAAAATGTCAATGGTGGTATTAATCTCCTTAAAGGATTCAACATGTTGATATTTAGATCTAAGAAAAGCAATCTAATTAATGCTAACCACAATACTTAAATGATGTTTGGAAATTGAAGATGAAAATGTGGTAATGAGGATGAAGAGGTTTGGTGAATAACCTAGATTCATTCGATTTTTCAGAATGGAACACATGAATGAACAAGAACACCTTGTAAGCTGTTGGAAGTTCACAGTTCCGATGCATCATTTCTCTATGAGATGGTGACTTTGGAAACTTTCCTCCGATAATTGTTTTCTCTCTCGATTCCACCTAGAAACCCATTATATCCACTGGTATACACCTTTGCAGATAAGGAAGCGAAGCTTAGGAAGAAATGAAGAACAAAATCATATTAGAACAAAGGAAAACTATACTTACTTATGTGAGCTGAGAAGAAAAGGAAGCTTCTTCATCATCATAAATAAGTATTGATTACCCACAATAAGAGGAAAAAGAAGCTCAGGTTATCAGAAATTCCAAGCAGCGATATAGAGGGAGATGACCAGGAGCTCAAAATGGAAAACCCTACTTCTTAGGGTTGATATATAAAAGGAGGCGGATCCTTTGGACTGGGCCTGTTTTTTGTTTTCTATTTTCGTTATTTTCTTTTCCTTTTGGGTTCACTTGGCCCATTTTGTACAGAGTTGAGATATAAATAATAGAGAAAATTTTGTAATTACATGACTTAAGATAACATAATATCTAAAGTCCCTATCATTTGAATTAATTACAAAAATTCCATTTTTCCTTCTCTCTTAACATCCGGATACATCACTCCACTTCTATCAGATATATTACAACTTCGTTTGTTTACAATGTATCTGATACAAATGTCATTGTTGATGCATAACCCAAATCATTCAAACCTAAATCAATATGAATTTGGTTTATAGTTATGTATCAGATACATAGCTCATATATCATTTGCTATGTATCGGGCGAAGGAGCAATATATCCGCAAGTTTTGAAAATTTTGAAATTATTGTAATTTGAGAAAGTTTTATAATATGATGTAATTAGCGCTCAAATTGATGGGGTTTCTGTACTTCATACTAAATAAAATGGAGGTTTTAGCTCCACAAGTTGTCTCTCTCTCTCTATATATAAATAGTAAAAAAAAAGGATAAGTAGACAACAAATTTAGACCCAATAGACAACAAACTTAAACACAATATTATATAGGGGAACTTTCATATATAGTCACTCAAAAATAACTTAATTGTGCTCTATAGCTATGGTTTGCTGATTACGATTCGTAGCTACATGTTAGAGGGAGGAGAGAGGCTCGTGCAAGAGAGGGCAGAGAGTGGAGAGAGGCGAGCGAGAGAGGGTAGAGAGTGGAGAGAGGCGAGCGAGAGAGGGCAGAGAGTGGAGAGACGCGAGCGAGATTGGAAGAGGGAGGAGAATGGCGAACTGTATATGTATATCTGTCAGATAATTGTAGATATATAACTGGTATACATATGTATTTGTATAATTGGCGAGGGAGATTGGGAGAGGGAGGAGATTGATGAGCAAAATATTTCTTTAATAAAAAGAATGCACAAATCCTTAACAAATCTCAGAAAAAGACAATAAAGTAAAATCCTAACAAAGTAAAATTCTTAAAAAATTAAAAACATTCTTTACCATAAAAATTCACAAATTCCTAACAAATCTATGTAAAAGACATCAAAGTAAAATCCTAAAAAAACATATTTTTGAAAATCCAAAATCAAAAAGAAAAAAGAAACTCCTTCAATAACCACACTACAATCAACTGTACCACATAAATCGGGCATAAAAGTTATTCTTTAAAACTTTTCATTCAAACAAAAATAAAACTAGACAAGAATACGCCTAAAACAACGGTCATAAATGGAGAAGAAATGTACAAAGCTTTCTACTCGATTTGTAATAGTCGATTTGTAATAGTTCAGAAGTATATTTGTCATTTTTTCGTCTTAGAAATTTCAGCAAAAAGATTTTGAAATTTTTTTTAATCTCAAAATAAGTATTATACTAGAAATTAAAGACAAAAATTGTATGTTTTTCCAATTATACTCTTATGTAAAGATAATTTTTTGTTTAATCTCAATCATCTAGATATATATAATAAATAGAAATAACTTAGTAAACTATTTTCTACTTATTTTTTTTCTTAACGAGCACGAAATAAGTTTAAATGACACTTATTTTGAGACGAGTAACAAAAAGTGAAATAAATTATCTTTAAACATGTTTTTGAAGGGGAATTCAATCTGAGGCAAAGAACGCTAGGAGTAAGTGAAAGATTCGGCGACAAGTTTTTCCTTTCGTCTTTCTATTTTTCGTTATTTGTTATGAATTTTATTACTTATTATGTTTTCACATACTTTATGCGTAGCTAATTTTCTATATAAGATTTTGATGAAACCTTTTGTTGGATGAGTTGTTATGACGTTTTTATATAATTGACCCCTTACTAGTATAACTTATAGTGCTGATTTGAGCATCGATAACCTATAAGCTAGATCATTACTATTTTTTTTCCACCTATTGTTTTTCTCACACTAATATAAAATTGTAGGTATCATTAAGAGTTCATCAGTCCCATATCGATGGAATACAAGAGGCAGAGAATTGAGAGGGCGGATAAAACACGAAGTCCGTGAGCTAAGTAAAGCATACCTTTCTCGGCCTTTTGGCTAAGATCAAGTGTAGTATCTGTTCTTATCAGTTTAATATCTGATATGTGGGTCATTGATTCACACGATATTAACTTAATTTTTTAAGGGGGAAGGTCCATTAAAGTAGCTTGCTACTTGGGTCTTCGTGCGTCGCCTAGGTGTTGCACTATAGCCTTGGCCTGGCGCAGCCCACCAAATCTAGTTTAAATGTTTGAGCTTGGCTTAACAAATTTTAAGTTAGAAAATGGAACTTGTAATTGTGATGACATGATAATCTTAGGTATCTAATTTCCCTATACCAATGTTATTTATTCTTTACTCCAAAACAAGTGTTGCTTTTGCAAAATAAAATAATAATCTCAAGCAAATGTCAGTAGGAATTCAAGACAAGAAATAGTAACTGTTTTTAACTATACCCTTGAAAAACTAATTCTTCCAATTTTGAAAAAAACATCTAATTACTCCCTTTGTCTCTTTTTACGTGTCTGAAAAAGGTAGAACCTCTTTATTGAGTAAATTGATTTTGAAATTCTATCAATTAATAAGGGTAAACTCACCATGTCAATTATATGAATAGCTTAGTAAATTATGCCTTCTATTTATTATTTTTCTTAATGAAGATGAAATGAGATAAAACGACACTTATTTTGAGACAGAAGGGAGTAGTACATTTTCCGTTTGAGGGAGTTTACTACATGTAGGAACAAAGTATTAACAATAGAGAAAATCAACAAATTGCTTGAGATTTTGGGTCGGATGAATCCTCTTACCCCACCTAGCACCCCCTTGATCAATAGACGTGCTAAAGCCCGATAAATAACAATTAAGGTGAAGCAAAGTAAAGAACGTAACGACAAATCTCTTCTTGTCAAGTACATACATAGAGATGTCCTAAGACTCTAGCTATACTAGTGTTGTGTTGATCCTTTAAAATCATGAAGTGTTCCCGTACATGCTTGAGATTACCTATGATTACAAGCGTTGATAATAAATCATGTTGAAGGTTACATTGTATAATAATCTATTTTGTAGGTAGCTTTTGTATACTATATAGTGTACTTAATTGTTCATACAAGTGCATGGCACTTCAGGCTCATTTGTCCCGTATCGATATAAAACGAAAAGTAGAGAGTTGAGAGGGAGGATAAAGCACCAAGTCCATAGGTTAAGAAAAGCATACCTTTCTCGGCCTTTTGGCTAAGATCAAGTGTAGTATCTGTTCTTATCAGTTTAATATCTGATATGTGGGTCATCGACTCACACGATATTAACTTAATTTTTTAAGGGGGAAAGTCCATTAAAGTAGCTTGCTACTTGGACTTTCATGCGTCGCTTGGGCGTTGCACTAAAGCCTATGCCTGGCACACCCCACCAATTCAAGTTCAAATGTTTTCCTTTCGACCATAGCCTTAACACCATGAAGTTACATTTAATTACATTTTAGATGTTAGGTATGAAAGAAAATGAAATATATAGGAGATTACATGATGTTGCACATTATAGCCTATTACCTAATCCGGTTTGACCCGCAAATTTGGATTGAGTCTTGACTCGATTGTTGCCTTAACCCATTATAACCTGCTAAAATTTAATTCAACCCACAACCCTAGAGATTGGTGAGACATTGATCTTATAATAGGGGCTCTCAAATTTAGTCCAACCCACAGCCTCGGAGATTGGTGAGATGTTGATGCCTATTTATAGGGGATTTGGGGAGTAGTAGGGACATAACTACTATGTGGGTTAGGACAGTTGACTGCATCAGCAAAGCAGTTAGAGAGGTGTTAGGGGTCTCGAGAGGTAATCCAAAAGGCGCAAGAAAATTGGTGGTGGGAAGGAGAGGACCAAGAAAAGTAAAACCAAAAAGGTTGCTTATACGACATCAATAGAAAACTTAGACGAGGAGGAGGAAGAGGAGGAATATGCACACCGGGGTGAGAAAGAAAATTCATGATGTGGACCAAGTGATATGCATCAAAGACGAAAACGGCATAGTGTTGGTAGAAGAGGACACAATAGACAGAGATAACATATATTTATTTTGAATCTTCTGGTCTTAAAATAAAGATGCATGAAATATGCTAAAATGTTCTTTAATCTTGTAGTCATAAACATATTACACGTTGAAAGCTCAAAGTAAAAAGACAAATGCTTTGAGCAGACAACTTCGTCAGATGATTTCGGTTACAACTTTTTGAATTGCAAAGGACTTTAATCATTTCTCTTCGTAACATACCAACGATAATTTTATTAAATTCGTTAAGCTTGTTAGAATATTGTGTTTAAAATTAGATTTAATGAAATGTTGAAGTTTTTATTTATTCAAATCGAATTATAAATCGAAGTAGAAAATTACAAGAACTCTAGTCTTCCAGAATGAGAATAGAATAAAATTATCAAGATTTTAGTCTCTTGAAAAGAAAAGAAAAACCATAGTACGAAAATTTAATTTCAAGCACATAATTTATGTGCTTAAGAAATTGAATTCATCAATATTGTTCAAGATTTGAATTAATTCTTCCTAAATAAAATAGAATGATCAACAAGGATTGTGATGGAGTGATACTCCTTCATCCTCGTTTTTATCCCCAAGACTTCCCGACGCAAAGAACGGAATGAGCTATTATTTAACAACAACAATTCAAATGAAACGTGTGTATTGATTGTCGAGTGCCATTTTTCAGTTTGGTTGTTTTGTTTCATTCAATGAACACACTGTTAAACTTGGGCTATTATTAAAATAGCCATTGGGGTCCAAAGTTCAACTATTGGTGGCCCAAGTTGAAGTCTAAGAGGAAATTTGGGGTCCAAAGTTCAGCCTCGAAGAAGTTTAAAGTGGTGCAGAAAAAAAGGTTCAAAATAAGCCTAAAATGAGGTTAATTTCAAGTGTAAATTTCATATATGACATATATTATAGTACTATTTTCAGGCTATAGCAGTAGATATAGACTTTCAAGCTATAGCATTAAAAATTTCAGGTTATAACAAATTCACAAATAAAAGAAATGTTTTTATTAATTCGAAAAAAGTTTTTTAAAAAATAAAAACGAAAATTTACAAAAAAAAAAACGGAATTATAGATAATAAAGTAAAAAATTGAAAGTGTGGCCTGTAATTTAATTTGAATTTATTGTAGATAATTAATGATTAGCATGAAATAAGGGATTCAAACAAATTAACAATATTTTTTATCCATAATTCACTCAAAATCAGTTAAGATAAATTAAAGAATCAGATCATATCATTTTTTTGTAGATAATTAATAAATAGCACGAATTAAGGGATTTAAACTAATTAAGATTATTTAGTATCCTTAATTCACTCAAATCAGTTAAAATCAAATAAAAATTCAGATTTTATCTTCTTCTTTTTTCAACGTTTCTCTCTCTTCAATTTGCAACAAAAAAAATTCAACGTTTCTCTCTTCAATTTTTAACAAAAAAAAATCCCACATTCGAGTAATTGAAGTTTTTTTCATCTTTGAAAATTCTTGATTTTGTTGTGATGGACAACTACGTATCAGTTTTAATCATACATGGTGAAAGATTGGATCCTTCGGGTTAGTATTTATTATTGTTTGTTTTAGAATGAGAGCGAAATGAAACAAAAATGATCAAACTGTCAATTAATTGAAGGTGGAGTCATGTTTTGTTAACTGTTGATATCATATTATGTTTACTGTTGTGAAATGTAAAAAATTTAGTGTTTTTTTTGTTTATTTGTTTATTTTGTATACAATTATTGTTTTGTGAAATTATAAATGTAATGTGATTTTATGAATAAATTTGATAGAATAAATTAAATGAAATTTGTATGAAAGTGTGCTAATTATTCTGTAAAAATAATTTAATTATAATGTTGACGAATTTATGAAAATTTATTTTATTTGATAATGAATTTGATAGTATAAGTCGAATGAATTATGTATGAAAAGTGTGTTAAGAAATATGTAAAAAAAAATTGGAATTCTTGACGAAGTGTATTACAAGTGTTTTAAATTGGTATTAAATGTGAAATTGTTGAGTTTATATTAGTTTTGTTATTTCTGTATAAAGTTGGGTGACAGTAATTAATTATTTGAGACGAGAAATGTATATAGTTTGAATGAATAATCGTTTTGTATGAAATGTGTATTAAATGAGTATGAAAATGTATAAATTTGGTATGAATGATGATTGTTGTATGAAATGTGTATTAAGTGAATATTAAATGTGAAATATTATGTTTTGTATGAAATTTGTTTTGTAATGTACTGTCTGAATGATACTTGTATGAAAAAATAATGACGAGTGTGTATAATTTTATTGTTATTATAATGATTTTTATGGATGAAATTTGTATTGTCTTTGAAATGAAAAGTTAATATTATTTAACATATTTCTAATTGATTTGTATAATGTTAGACTAATTGTTTTTTTTTTTTTTAATGAAACAGAGAATTATGTTGATTTTCAAGTGAAATGAATATATGAAAGAGGGTTGCTAATGTGAAATTCAAAAGGTCCAAAGTTACTTGCAGTAGATGTTGTCAAGTTGGCCTCAACTTGAAGCATGTTCAAATTATCCTGTGCAAAACAAATGATTGTTGATTTGTTTAGACTATATATAATTTTTATTTTATTTTGTCGTTTAGATTAATGTTTTGTTTTGATATGAAACATAATTATTTGAAGTGTATTATAAACTTAGTGTTTAATATACCGTTCATTCTTTATACATTGTTTATTCATTAATCATACAGATTGTATATTGTTAAAAATAAAATTTATTCTAGCTTAATGCATAAGATAGTGTAAATATTAGTGATAATTATAAAAGGTAATTATGGTATCCTGAGTATTTAATTTAATGTAAGTTTACATGAATATTAATTTGGTTTTCAACTGGTGTCCTACTATAAATAAATTTAAAACAAATTGCAGTTAGTGTTTCATTCCCACACTAACTTCAGTTAGTGTCATACACATATTAATCAAAATTTCATACACGTATTATCCAAACAACATGCATAAAATTTAAAAATTCATATAATCACACAATTTATACCATTTGTATATCAATATTATATCACAATTCATACAATATCCAACAATAAAATATTAAACTCATAGGCATACACGTATTAATCAGATTTCATACATGTTTCATCCAAAAACATGTTTAGAATATAAAGTAAGCATAATGTGATTTTTT